GTGCTGAGGTTTACTTATTAATCAGTATTTCAGATTTATGTATCAATACTGTAGCCAATCAGCGTGTCACATTACTATGTAATTAAATATTAATTATCACATGAAAGAGGCATGCCTTTTGGCCTAAGGGCATGCCTCCAGACATGCCTAGGGGGGCATGCCCAAAGGCATGCCTCGTGCCCCGTGCCCACAACCCTACACACAATAAAGATAGCCAAAAAAATGACCCGTTTAATTAAAGATTCATTATTATCACCTTTCATATATTCATGGTCTAAAAGTTTTTCGATGTCATGTACAGATAACCCTTCGGCTACTTTTGGGTCACCAAGTCCTTGATCTTGAAGAAGTCTCATTTTTCCATCTGAAGTGCGAAGTGCTCGTGGAAATTGATATCGATCTCAGATTTTAACCGTTAGTAAAACAGAATGTTTTCTTAGATATCGGTTAAAAGCTGATTAACAGTTGTGTACTGACTCGACTTTATATTCCTCTCCATTTTTTTGCAAAGCCATGTAATAAATCTACATAAAAAGTCCTTCAAAGTCACTACATCATTAATTAGTTCGATCCTAGGAGCTGTATTAGCAAGTGTGCAGTAACGATTAACAACCTGGAGCCACTTAACAATATTTTGTTCAGTATTTGAAACAAGCGAAGCAGCTTGAAGTTGTATTTTTTTCATTCATAGGTAACTCAGACATGATAAAAAAAAGTGCAAGGTAAATTCACATGTTACTATTCGTGGCTATGTGATGATTAGCATCACATAGTTTCGTCAAGCAACTATATTCGCACAAAAGACAAAGGCAACTTCACATACAAGAATGTGCGAAGGTAAGTTCACATAACGTACGGCAAGAGACGTGCAAGATAATTCAATGTAATTAAAGACGTGCGAAAGAAAATCATATGAAAAAATTTTTAAGCGAAAGAAAGGTATTGTCAGAATTCTCATCGTCGTGCCATCAGACTCCTAGTTATTGATTAGAAATTGATCTGTAAAAATTACAGATAATATATCATTAACAATGTGACATCTATATTATCCTAACCTGTAATTTGTTATAGATCACATCATAACCAATAACAAGTACTTATTAATTAAAATAACCAATTTTTTTAGACAACCTTTTGACTCATAACATACGTACAGTACGTACCTACTTTTAGGGGTGTTAAAAGTTCAAGTTGACTTGAAGCAAATTATTTGGGATGGGTACGTTATTGATAGGTATACGAAATTGATTGTAATTATTACTATACATCAATATGTAAATATGGCTTTTATTAAACATCGAGATTTTATAGAATTAAAAAAAAAAAAAATGGTAGATATTAGAGAGAAATTTAAATTTATTTAATTGTTTATTAATATGATGTGAGGTCTAAAAATTTTATTATAAAAGTCTTGGCTACGTATATCATTTGCATTATTTATTATCGTTATGTAGAGCTTGTACCCGTTTATCCGACAACCTGGGAACCGTTATTTTGACAATATCCCGGAATAAATTATGCTTAACCGGTCGATCCGATATCTGGTTACTGTAAATAAGAATGGTAAGAGATAGAGACTCTGAAAAATTACGAAGTAGAATATCAATGAACGTTAAAAGACGAGCAAGATCATAATAACATAAATTAGCGGGTCAACCGGTTCACCGGGTTATCTTGAATCATTTGAAGTAACCCGGGTTGTGACCCGGTTAATACTGACATAACGGGGTGAGTAAACCGGAGCATAAATTTTTAGGCGGGTACAAGCTCTATCGTTATGTAAATAGACCGATACCATGTACCTCACGCGAGGTCAACTAACATTTATTATAATATAGAATTTCTCATATATTAATTCTATAAAAAAGAAATTAATTATAAAGTTTATATAATTTAAAAATAACACCTTACCTTTAATGCAAGTTTTTTTGAAAGTCTAATGTTTGTAACTTTTATATGATTACAAATTGCGAATCCTTATATTTAATGACTTCTTTTTGAGTTTGAAATAAAAATTTTAAATATAATATAAACCTACTTTACTAATACAATTAATACAATTAGTATGCAAACTTTATATATATCCATTACTTACTGTTACTACGTATCGTAAATTGGGAGCGGGTAACGTTGCACGGTTTAGCTCCGATAGTTAACGTGGTACGGGTTATAATATCTAATTACTAATAAACAGGTAATTAATAATGGAAGGGTTCGATACTCTATTTATAAAGGTCGTGTATTATATAGGGTCGGATAGTTGATTTAAGGGATGATCGGAATAATTTGATAACTAATACTAACGCTAAGGGGTGGCGTTACTCTTAATCGTATACGTAACAATAAACTAATTGACCCAAACGTTGATCACTATACTAATAACAGAACAATCGTAATATCCTAATCAAATAATCTACCAAAACTAATTGTCTAATTAATAATCCTATCTTGTACCGATGTCTTTATATAATGTAACCTATAAGAATACGGCTCTCAATTACTCAGTGAAAGGTCTATTCGGCCTCAATGCTTACTTCCTTTATGTTAATTAAGAGACCCAGCGTATATTTATAATCGTTAATCAATAAACGTGGTAAGGAGTTGATTATTTATTTTAGCGAGGTTAAGATAATATTCGAATTTTTAAGAGAGTTATAGAATTGGATTTAAACAATAGTAATTTATTTAATTTGAAGTTTTTATTATCGGTAACTGTCCCTTTCGAAAGGAGAAAAGGACTACTATTTATACATTTTGTTTCGGGGAGGGGTAACTATACTAATTCTTTATGACTATAATCTTTATGAGCAGTTTCTTAGTCCTTCGCTTAGTCCGTGATTAAACTATTCTAACACGAAGCCACACTGCTCACACCACTATTCTATGGCTTACCGCTATAGCCCCCCTAAAAAAAGTTACGTAGCTAAGTTTAAATTAGAAGCCTATACTTAGTTGAATATTAGCGAAATTATGTTGTCACTCAAAGATGCAGCAGGAATGAAATAAGCCATAACAATTTATACCGCATCTTTAATATCAATTTTTTTCTATTGATATTGATCTAAATAATAATTCTATGGGACTATAAGCTTATGAGTTTTTCTAAGTTGCGTATTGATTATTAGTTGTTCAAATTATTCATTTCCTTTTCATTGGTTTAATCACGTTATTACATGTGACATTCTTAATGCATACGGGATGATTCGACTCATCACTTATCAAAGCAGATCTAATTCGGGTGAAATTTCATCAGAACAGATCTAATTCGGGTCAAATTTGCAGATCATTTGGCCCGGGAGATGAGTTTTAAAGCTCATCTCCAACAACATCTCCCGGGCCAAATGATCTGCAAATTTGACCCGAATTAGATCTGTTTTGATGAAATTTCACCCGAATTAGATC